GCCACATACACACACCACATACCACACACACGCCACACACACATACACCATGTTCACACACACACCACACACCATGTTCACACACACCACACACACACACTGCATTCAACGAGTGGAAAATAGAGCAAAGAAAAAACAAAGAAAAGAAAAAAGAAAAGAAAAGTAAAGGGGCGCCTGGGTGGCTCAGTCGTTAAGCGTCTGCCTTTGGCTCAGGTCATGGTCCCAGGGTCCTGGGATCGAGTCCCGCATCGGGCTCCCTGCTCGGCGGGAAGCCTGCTTCTCCCTCTCCCACTCCCCCTGCTTGTGTTCCCTCTCTCGCTGTGTCTCTCTGTCAAATAAATAAATAAAATCTTTAAAAAAGAAAAGAAAAGAAAGAAAAGAAAAGAAACAAAGAGAAAAAAAAGAAAAGAAAAAGAAAAAAAAGAAAAAAGGAAAGAAAGAAAAGAAAAGAAAAGAAAAGAAAAGGAAGCAAGTAGACATGAACAGGAGAAAGGAGAAGAGTGGAGGGAGGCCAGGGCGCCAAGCAGCAGGGCTGTGGGTGCGGGCAGGGGTCTGACTCACAGTCTCTGGGGTAGGGGTGGGTGCCCGCAGCTCCAGCCTCGTCCTCCAGCCCTACACCTTCTTGCCAGCGCCCTGCCCAGCCGCTCACCCCCTCACCCCCAGCGGCTTCACCCTCCCCACCGTTAGTAAAATTCCTTTTCCTGGTTTCCCCTGGGAGGTGAGTGGTTCTGTTACACTGATCAAAAACAGGCTTCTAAATGCAGGTTTCTTCAACGCAGAGCTGGAGGCTGGGGCCTGGGGGGGCGGGGGCCATGCCAGCGAAGAGGACCCCGGGGAGGCCTGCTCTGCAGGGGAACAGCCACTTCGGGAGGCCCGGTGCCTGCACTCTTGAGTTCAGCCCAGGGGCCCAGCCAGCGACTCACCTCCCGAGCCCAGAAGCGTAGCATTCACCTGCAGGCAGCGGTTGACGTGCTCACCGCTCTGCTGACGTTTGTAGATGTACTCAAATTCGACGTGGCCCTTGCTGCGCATGATGACGTACTTGTAAGGAATGGGTTTATTCACGTGCTGCCTGGACAGGACAGCACTGCCTTCCACGAGGAACCCGTTCTCATGCAGGTCTCTGAATAAACACGACACCAGCCGGTTATCCACAAAAACTCCTATTTTGAACATTTTAGCTCCCCTCAAACACAGCCTGGAGTGCAGACCCAAAGCTATAAATCACTACTGACCCAAGAGGATGCTTCTAGAATGAGACATAGTTTGCAGACAGAACCAACATTAAAGGGGCCATGGTGACATATGACACAGAAATGCATTATACAGATATTTGAAATAGTCGTTTTCCAAAGTGTAAGAATGTTATCAACTTGAAAAAACTATTATTTCCACATATTTCAAAGACTGGATATTCTGTACATTCCCCACAAAGCCCTCGGTACACTCACTTGGTGCAGTGCATCTCACAGACATTACAATTCCACTTGGTCTTTCCAAATTCTTCTCCCCCCCTGACAAACACTTTGTGGAGGCTGGGGTCGAAGCCGAAATCCTTAGAGATGATTGCATGGAAGTACACCGTGATTCCTTCCTGCAGACTCAGTGGGCTGGAAGAAAGCCGTAAAAGGAAACACCAATTAGATCTAGATCTGCCTGCCCCCCTGCACGCACACGCACACGCACACACGTGCACAACAGGGTCCTCGTTTCTCGACTGTGCCCTCACACACACCCAGGCAGAGTGCGAGAACATCCACACTTCAGACAGACCCCATGCCATGTGGGTCCTCCTGGGCCTCCCTCCCCGGTGGAGCAGGAAGGTGGGCTTCTACCCACAGGGTGGGGGGCCAACTCTGCCCAGCTCCCGAAGGGCTGAAGGCAGTGGCGGGAGGGGGCTGATGAGCACTCTGGGATGTACCAGCTTCTCCCCTGAGTTCTGTAAGGCCCACATGGCCTCAGGGACCCCAGGGCCTTTGCACGCTGTGTGCTGGAGCATTTCACCAAGCAAGGAGAGGGGACACGTGGCCCCCCAAAAGAGTCACCAAGAAGGGCAGCCTGGGAATCTCTGTCCCCTGCCTGGGGCAGGTTGTCCCAAGTGCCAGGGCTCACACCCACCTCTCCTTCACTTCACACCCTCCGGCTTTGCAGTTCCATTGCTCCTTCTCATTTTTCACAGAGGCCACACAACTCTTGTTATTCCCTTCTGGCTTCTTCGAACCCTCTGGCTTGGCCTTCTCACTTCCACCTGCTTTGTCTCCGGTAACAGCTGTCTTCTTGGTTTCAGCTTCCTGGAACAAGTAACCGAGCCCTGACCTTTAGGACCAGCTTCCACATTGGCCCCCTCCAGTCAACGCTTGTCATAGCAGCCAGAGTGGTCGTGTCCCTTCCTTGCTCAGAGCCTTCCATTGCCCTCTGACCCACTTGCTACAGCCTCCAAGAGTCCCTCTGCAACCCTTTTCCCCTCACTTGCTCCTGGGGGCACTGGCTTCCTTCCTGTTCCCTAAACAGGCCCACCACACTCTGCCACAGGGCCTTTGCACCTGCCATTGTTGCCTGGGACATGTCCCCAGAGAGCCGCATGGCTTGCCCTTCACTCACAGATCTCTGCCCCATCTGCACCTCCCTGGGGAGGCCTTGCCTGGCGACGGTCTCTCAGCACCCACCTCCAGCACCCTCCACCCGCACCCTGCTTTTCTCTGTGGTTCTCGCCATGTCTGACTTTGCTTTCTGTCTTTCCCCCTGCAGAAGGTGGGCCCTGATGGCAGGAGTCAGGTCTCCTTCATGGCTGCATCCCTAGCACCCAAAAGAGAATCACCAAATGACTGAACAAAGGATGAACTTTAGAAGGAACGGGACCCAAAGGAGCAGATGGTGGGACAGACAGCAGGACATGGAGGCTTCTGAGAACAAGACGCCCTACCTGGCGGTGTTCTGGGGAAGCAGGGGCACTTGCTGGCGGCTGTTTCTTGTTCTGAGTCTTGGCTTTCACTTTTTTCCCAGCCCCTCCCACCGGCTCAGCTGGCTGGGCTACAGCAGCAATTTCCTGGAGGAGACAGAGGCCCCAGACGTCAGGGCCCAGGCGATGCCCCGATGGTGTAGGGGTCAGCTCTGCCACCAGCCCAGCGAGAGGGATCAGCGGCTTGCGGGGGGGGGCACCATCGCAGGGAACAAGTCCCAGGGGTGCCCTTCCTACGCAGGGAGGCGATGGCAGAGCTGCTTGGCCACAGCCCGCTGTCCGGGCACAGTGGACCCACTCATCACTCCCGACAACTCACCTCAGAGGCATGGGCCCCGGCCTGCTGCGCGGCAGTCTGTGGTTCTTTCTTGGGCTCAGAGCCCCGCTTGGACTCAGGTGGCAGGAGCTCCTGAGCAGCACCTTCCTTGCCAGGACAGTCTTTGTTGGCAGAGGTGGTTGGGCCAGCCCCCTCCTGGCGGGGGCCTCTGCCCTGGGAGGGCTCGGGGGTGTCGTGGTCCTTTCCGTTCGGGAGGACGCCTCCCCCGGGCTGGTCCTGCAGAGGGCTGCTGCCAGCCTCGACATGCCCCACGGACTCTGGGCAGTCACCATCCTCCTGTGGCGTCGGGGTGGCGCCTGGGGGCTGGCTCGGCTGCCTGGTCTGACCACCTTGCAGAGCCCGGCTCTGGGGTGGGGCTGAGCCCTGGAAGCTGGGGTTTGCAAGCGAGCTGACACTACTGGGGACGGAGGAAGCCTCCAACAAGGAGTCCAGCTCTGCGGAAGTGGAGGCCTTCTGGTTCTTTCTCTTCTTCCCTCTCTTCCTTTTGCTCTGAACAGAAGAGACACTCATTTTATTTCCTAGGGTCACTACACTCTCCCGACACTCTCCTCCAATTTCCTTTCCTTTCAATGTCTCAAATCCGTCGAGCTTAGCCTGACCAAACCCCCTTATATCTGTCAAATCTGCCATGTCTTTATCTTGGACAGACTGAAGCAGAGACACAAATGGACACGGGCAGTGGACAGAGCTGCAGGACACGCGGCCGAGCAGTGCCCACCACACCCTTCGTTCTGCCAAATCAAAGCTGAGAACCTCTCCCGGAACTGCTTCCCATGGGACATCCTGGACGCGTGCTGCTTGCGTGTTACAAAGCATACATGGGCCTCCGTGTATCACACTCCGACATCGCAAGCCTTTCCTACGGGACCTTGAGAGACCGAAAGCAGACGGGAGTCTGAACAGCCCTTTCTGGCCTGGAGATCCTTGCTCAGCGGCCAGTGCTCCCAGCTTTGGAATCAGAAACAGCTTGTGGGGAGCAGCTGGGCAGGCCCCTCCGCGGACCCGGCCGGGACTCAATGCCTTACCTCACCCGGGTTACAGCTCTGGAGCAAATGAAGAGTAGTCGGTGCATTAAGTGTCAGTGGCCGGTAAATGCCCTGAGACACAGCGTGGACCTGAGACTCGCCACCAGCCCCAGGCTTGGGTTGAGTTGCTGGGGACACGGAGGGAAGAACTTGGGGTTTTTTTGCCCATGGGGCGTGGTGGCCTTGGTCTGGGTCAGGTCCTGGGTCTTCTCCAAGATCTGCCCACAACAACCAGCAGGACACAGGGGCCGCCCCAGTGCTGAGCCCTCGAGGGAGATTTCCCAGCCTATCTGACAACTGACACCCATTACCATCACAGTCGGTGGCAGGAAAGAGGCCCTAAAAGGTCATCTAAGGCGGGGGCGGGGTGGGGGGCCTTGGGGGGCTCAGCTGGTTAAGCAGCTGACTCTTGATTTTGGCTCAGGTCATGATCTCGGGGTCATGAGATCAAGCCCCGCGTTGGGTTCCACACTCTGTGGAACTCTCTGCCCCTCCCCCTGCTCGCTTTCTCTCACTCCCTAAAATAAACAAATAAATAAACAAAATCTTAAAAAAAAAAAAAAAGGTCGTCTAAGGGACACCTGGCTGTGGCTGGCTCAGTCGGAAGAACATGCGATTCTTGATCTTGGGGTTGTGAGTTCGTGTGGAGATGACTTAAATAAATAAAACTTAAAAAAAAAAGGTTATCTAAGGCAGTAACTTGTCCAACACCCATGGGCGTACAGAGTGCTAAAACACGCGCTAACAGGCAGATGGTAGCTCGGCATGTTACAAAGCATACATGGGCCTCCATGTATCACACTCTGACATCGCAAGCCTTTCCTACGGGACCTTGAGAGACCGAAAGTGGGGGACCTGGGAGTCTTCATTTCCAAGGAGCCGCTGCCAGGGCCGCTGGAGAGCAGGACCCGTGCAGGGCCCGGAGTGCGCCCCTGGGAGCCCCGCCCAGAGGTGGCCTCTAGCCCGGAAGCCTTCCTGGAGGAGATGGTGCAGGCTGAGCCTGACAGACACTAAACCCCTAACAAGATGGCTTCGTCCATTCCACAAGGATTCCCTGATCCCGTACTGCGTCCAAGCGGTCAGAGTCGCTCACCCAGGGTAATAGCCGAAGTGTGGCCAGGAGACTCCTGCTCACTCCCTGCCTGCCTCATCCTGCACTTGTCCTGCTCCTGCCTCTGGTATTGATCCTGTCTTTTATTTTCTACAGCTTATGATGCTTTGGCAGTTTGGGGTCCTTGCTAATCCTGGAGACTGCCGCTCCCAGGGCTAACTCACCCCTAGAGAGAGTGGAAGACTCCCTTCCATTTGCAAGTCAGCCAATGCAGAGCCCACACCCGCACCCAACTCCCTCAGCCACTGTTCCTCTGCCCTAAATCACCCCAGGGCCAGGTACAAAATGACGAGCGACACCCCGACAGCCCAGAGCCCACCAAGATCATCCAGACCAGCCAATCCTAAACTTGCTCAAACTTGCCTTGCCCCCCATTTGTCCCTCCTCCTCTGACCACCCAGGTGCTTCCCCACGTGGCAAGACCCCTCCTCCTGTCACTCAGCCACGTCCATCAGTTAAATGCCAGACACAGTCAAGACGCCTCCTTGCCGTCCTCTCCTGCTTTGATGTTCCTCTTCCGCAGACACCCCCTTCCTCCTGCCCTCCGCCCGGCGCCCCTGGGCAGAGGCCGTCCCTCCCTGACACCCTCTGCAGGAAAGCAGCCTACCCAGCCCTCCGCCTGACCCCCAAGGAGTATAACCTTGCCTGAAAACAATGCATTCTTTACTAATAATTTCCTTTTCCAACCCCTTTCTGCCTTAAGAAAACCTTCCACTCAGCCTTTGGGAGCTCCTTCTGTTATGGGGTGGGAGGCTGCCCGATTCAGGACTCATCGAGTAAAGGCTCCTGTTCTAGTCTGGGGCCCCACTCTTGGTTCCCTGGCAGAGTCCCCCCACTCCATGGGAACACCCCGGCTGCACACGCGAGCCTGTTCACCACACGTACACGCTGTCTGACCATGGGGTTCTGGAGGGTCACTAGAGGCTGGGGGAATGGCCACCGTGAGCGAATTCCCAGGGACAACCTCACCAGCTTCTGCCTGTGCTCCGCACTCCAGCTTCCCTTCCCGGGTGGGAATGTGTGCGTTTAGGCTTTTGTTTTCGACCCCTTCTGTGACAGTACCACACACAGCTTTCTGACATGGAGGTGAAAATCATGGAACATACAATGAACCATTTTCAAGTGCGCAGTTCGGTGGCATCTGGTGCTCACTGTGCAAGCACCCCGCTATCTAGTTCCAGACATTTTCATCCCCCTGGAAGGAACCCCATGCCCTCTGAGCAGTGACTCCCCACTTCCCTCCCCTGGTGGGGGCAGGGAGCCCTCCAGTTGCCTGCAGCACCCTCAGACCCCCTGTGTGGGGAGGGGGTGGGGCCAGGCCGAAACCCCACAAACCAAGCTCTGCCACCAGGGCTACGTCTCCTGCTCCTGAGACTTTCCAAAGGTGCAAACAAGCTTATGCTGACCGTTTTGCTCAGTTTGGTTGGTGCTCCTCCGGGAGGGACAGGCCCCTGAAGGCCCCTTCTCTGCCGTTTTTGCTGGTATCCGTTTACCATACTTGGGGTTTGTTTTTTTTCTTTTATCTTTTTATTTAGTTAGTTATCTGATCTGATTGCAAGAATTTCCCCACAGCTTCAATCTTTGAGAAAAAGCAGTCGGAGGTCACAGGCCCATGGTGGGGTATTCAGGAGGAGTCCAGTGTTTGGCCACAGAAGCTCAGGCTGTGATTAAATCCTCTCCGAAACCTTCAGATGCCTTTCTGGGGTTGTTCCTCACAATGAAATCAGAGAAGAAGAGCACCTGTCTTGCTGGGTGGTCCCACCACACTACCCACAGGTGTAGGGAGAACTCTGCCCCAAATGCTGACTTTAAATCAATTCTCTAATTTGATAGCCTTCATATAAAAGCTTGCAGTTCTTTTTATTTTCCATGTTTGAGTTCAGAGGTGGGACATTTATAAATTTACAGGCCATTTATTTATAGACTACAATCTACCACTGACCCATTTTTTTCCTACTGGGTTGTTTACTGTTTTCTTCTTGATTTCTAAGAGCTTTTGACATATTGAAGCAACTCACTCTTTGCTAAAATACTTTTATGTAAATACGAATATTCTATGTTTTTCCTAGATTGTTTGCTCTTCATTTGTGCTTATCATATTCTATGAGATTTTTAGTATTTTTAAGTCAAAACCACCAGTCTTTCATTTGTAGTCTTTTCCATTGCTTTAATCACCAGAAAATCTTTCCCCATTCAGAGATCAGATAAATATTTACATATATTTCCCCCCACAGTTCTTGTACGTACGAGATTCTGACTCAGGACTGTCTCTTCTGGTGCAGCAATCGCCCCCAGAATTCACTGTTTTACTGACTATGGCTTTGTACCACGTTTTTGTTTGATTTAGTACAGTAAGTCCCACTCAAGATTTTCCTTTTTCATAGTATTCTTGGCTTATTCTTGCCCATTTTTGTTTCCAAAAGAGCTTTAAACTCACTCTGTTTACTTCAAGGTTAAAAAAGAAAACCCAGTCCTGCTGGGCTCAGAACCAGGTTCACTCACAGTGCCACGCGCCCTCCTGTGGGTGTGCGCCCCTCAGCGCCCATCTCCAGAGTTCACCTAAACCTTCACTGTCCCACATCCAGCTCTGGACATTGACTCGCCAAGGGGAAGGACACACACTCACTCACACGCACATGCACAGAACACATACCACATCTCACACCCCCCCCCCACACGTCACAAACACACCGCACGCTCACACCCACACCACACAAATGCCACACGCACACACTCCACACTCCACTCACATACCACACACAGACACCCCACACTCCCACACACCCACTCACACATCACACCCCCCCACACCCTACTCACACCTCACACGAACATACCCACACACACACCTTCCACTCACACACACTCCATACCACACTCACATACATAGCACACACATACCCCCCCACACCACACTCACACCAACTACTCCCACACACAC